GAGAGGCAAAAAAAAAAAATCAGACTCTTGCTTTATTGTCTTGAGCCATTTGGTTCAGGCGGTACCTTTAACAAAAGGGCTGAGAGAGGGGAACAAGGACCGAAAGGCAAACCGAGAGCTCTGGTCAGGCAGAGCAATGCACTAACCAAACCACAAGCCCTGGCCCAGAGACCAGCGCTGTACAGATTAACTATGATGTAAGTGTCCTGTAACTCAGAAAATAAATATCATGCACAAATGTAAATATAATAAAAAAATGTGACTCCAACAAGAAATGACACAAAGTGGGCATTACAAAAAAGGAAACGAAAGCCAAGTCGAAGCCAAGAACAGAAATAAGGGTTTCCATTATCTTTTTGGATCAACTTAGAGGGAATGTCATAGCAAAATCTTCTCTTTGCAAGCACTCTGCTTACATAATTCCTTGTTTTCTTCTAATGTGTATAAAACATAAGAAAAAAATGTAGTGTTGGTGGCGATTAGATCACAATGTTTGAACCAGCACTGTGCTCTTTTCTGTTTCACTGTAAAATTATGTTATTCTTTGCAACTTTGTTCTATTTCAGGTACATGTACTTTAGCAATGCTCTGGAGACCAATGGTCTCACTGCTGTTCATTTCAAAGACACTGGGACAGTGCATTTGCCTCAGGAGGCTGCAATCGGGAGATGCTGACACTTCCCAGGTGCTTCACCCTGTGAGTCTTATAAAACCATACGACACTTAAAATGGAAGACTGCAGTCCTGAAAAAGCTTGCCGAGCCTCAAGTATACACAGCCTCTGCTTGTCTGCCTTCTGCTTTTCTACTTGTGCCCCCTAAAGAGAGGTCTATCTTGGTGGAGCTGATGTCTACCTTATCATAGGAGTAATTAGAGCAGAATCATCCCACTGCCTTTTTCCTTCCACTTACCTTCCCTTGGTAGCTCAAAATAGACTTTTCGGATAAGACGGAAACAAAGCTTCAGAGTTAATTGGAAATAAAGGTTTTAGTACCTTTGCTTCAACCATATCAGATACATCCTAGAGTCAATTCCAAAGCTCAGCCCCTCAAAACAGAGGAAACTTTTAGATATTGCTACATCATTAGCTTTCTTCCCTCAATCAAAATACAGAAACTATGAAATAAAGACACACTTTGTCAAAAATACTTCTGGAGCTCCTGTTGGCAAGCACTCTGAGTAAAACCCACATGGCCTTCGCAACCCCACTCTTACATCAGCTGTGAATGGTCCCGTCCACTACCCTATGAGAGCAGATGCTGTTACTGCTGCAATACAATGGGTGCAAATAAGAAGCCAAGAGGGAGGAAAAGGCCTTGCTCATTTAACACCCAGTGGAGATGCCCAGTGTACCAGTCTGCAGACCTGCGACAGCCGCCACACAGACCAGCAGAAACCAGCCTTGGACAGCCCTTGGCTGGAGAAAGGACTGCATCCTTTCTCACTGAGGAAGGCCAATAGAAAACGTCTGTCTCGTTTACTATCCACAAAACCTAAAAATTAATTCACTTTCTAACGAGCTTGATTTCAAACAAGGAAAATATAATATGTTTTCTGTATTGGAGTTTATACAAAGACTTCTGAAAAAGTCTGATGAATCACAAATAATGCAAGAGAGCCTGGGTTCCAGTTCCAGCTTCACTACTTGCTAGCTGCAATGTCCTTGGGTAGGCACCCAACCCATCTGCGCCTCCGTTGTCATCTGTAAAGTAAGGATGACACCAACTCATAGAGCTACTATAAGTCTCAACTCTTACAACAGCCTTGCTCAAAGAAATGCTAATACAACAGCCATGATCATTATCTCCATATTACAAATAAAGGAAATGGAGGCAAACATGTGAAATAACTTTTCCAAAGTCACACAGCAAGTAAGTGAAAAACCCACAGTCTGGATCTAGAGTCCAAACTCTTAACCACTACGTTATACCACCTCTAGGATGTCCCATCCCGTTTCAAATCAACAATGGCAGGTTCTTCCGTATTTGTAAAAAGAAATCCTTAAAATCCATGCTCTTGCCACAACCAAAGGGCCAAGACATGATAAGTGCCCATGGAAGCTGCACTCAAATCAGAAACAGCAGGTCCCACCCTAAAGCCCAGAGCAATCTCAAGCACAACAGGTGCTTCTGGAACTACCATGAGTTCGAGGTTTCACACCCAAAACTGCCCTAGACATTCTATCCCAAGCCCTGGCAGACAGGCAGGTGCAGAAGTGCCCCACACGAGTGGTAGTCTCAATGTGTGTGTGAAAATTCAGGAAAAATCAGTGCCAGGAGTACAAAGAGGTTAGAGCACCTAACTTTTAGCCCCTTCCTTCTGTTTTTCTTGCCACGTCAGCAAAAGTCCAATAGAAGCAGGCCAGGCTTGTCCCTGCCACCACTTCTAAAGTACATCTTATGCAGAGAAAATTCAAAGGCAACCAAAGATCACCTTACCTTTTTAAAAATTTTTCCATTTGGTTGTATTTCATCTTCCTCATTTAAAACTTCACGCATTCCCAAGAGTTTTTTATCCTTAAATTTGTTTTTTGCATACATAAAAACTTTATCCAGTGTGTCACAGCCTGGGTACAGCACTGAGGCCAAGCCATTCAGACTGTTAACAGATCTGAATGCAGACTCCGGTTTTGAACTTACAGGCTTTGCTTTAATTCGGTTTGATTTTTCTTGTCTTGATTCAGACAAAAAGTAATATGGAATGTATGTTAGAATAGTATAAAGTGATATTATAAAATGTATGAAATATAAAAGAATGGGGTTGATGGTCTGTTTTAGCTTCATGGTCGATGGTTTTGAAGATACGTGGTTATTCATAAGTGCTCAAAATGTAGAAGTAACAGATTTCTGTAAGAATCTAAAAGAAAGAGAAAGGAAGATATTAGTCCACTTTAAATAACTTTAAAGAAAAAGTCTTCCCATTAGATAGGCCAATAAAGGGATTTGTTTTCCCATCAAGCAGCAGCTAGTGCACTGGCCCCAGTAAAGCCCTGTCCATGCTCGATATCTGTAAGAGATTCATTTGTACGTATCTAATAACAATGAGGTTACCACAGAAAAGTTTCTACATTCTGTAAAACGGGCAGCTTTTCTAAACTAACCCCAAGTACCCACAAACACTTCCCAGTGGTGAGGATCAAGCAAGCCAGACCTACAAACAAGGGGAGACCAGAACTGTACCCACTCCTGCACTTCAGCTGCATTAAGTTAGGGCAGGAGGCACTTTGCATCTCCACAGCACTCTCCCTGCCTGCCCCAGCGGAGCGGCTCCTGTTGGTCTCGGCACTCCTTCCCAGCAGGCCCCACTCTCTCCCTTGAGGCAGCAACAAGCAACTGGAGTTGGCAAACATGACCTTCACTTCCTCTAGCGGCTCTAGATATTTTTCAATTTAGACAGGTAAGCTGTGAAGCACGAAGGCAGTAAACATCGGTCATTTTATACTTTGCATTCATTCGATTTACTGAGTGTCTGCTGTGTGTCAGATAATATTCGAAATACAAGGACTGTAACAGTGAAGGAGAGTCCAAGTCCCTTCCCTCATGAATCCTGCACAGTCACTGGGAGAAGCAGACACATACACTGTATGCAGCATCCAGACTAGGCTGTACCCTCTGCAGAGCAACAGGATGCACACTGCAGAAAAGATCAACTTCTTTGAAGTAGGGCAGCCAAGTTGTTAAACAAATAAACAAGCCAAAACCACCACAACAAGAAGCTGAGGAAAAGGGGAGGAGGGAATCAGAATTGCTATAAAACATCTAAAATAGCCAGTTTAAATCCAAAAGTTACAAGGCATGCAACTTGTATATACACAGGGGGAAAGCAGGCAACAGAAATCATCCTTCAAGGGGCCAAATAATTTTGCAAACAAAACATCAGAACAGCAATTATAAATATGTTCAAAGAACTAAAGGACATGGTGCTTAAAAAAATTAAAAGTCCAACCCTGCAGTTTTACAAGACAAGGACACCTCCAAATCTGCCCACGCACAGCTGGTGAGAAGCCAAGACTCCCGGCCGACCAGGGCTCTGTCCGCCACATCAAGCTGTTCCCTGACGATGTATTCAATACTCTGGAGAATGAGCCCAGAGAATCTGGGGTTTTGCCATAAAGGGCAGGGAAAGCCAATGGAAGTTTCTGTGGGGGAAGTGGCACGATGCAAACAAAGGGTCCTGCCACTTCCAGAAGTCAGAGCTGCAGGAACAGCTGCATCTCAGTAACCCAGGAGAAGGACCTTATCTCCTGAAGTACTCCCTCTGAGATTCACTTCTGTATGTGTACATTTTGAATTAAGAAGTAATACTGTGATTAAAAAACCTATTTATCTACAGATGATATGATTGTACTTAGAGAAAATTCTACAGGACTCCTGGTCAGGGTGGCAGAGTAGAGATGCATACGGAACTACTTCAGGGTGAAGAATCATGATATCTGTAATTTTATATTACAACACTTCAGTTAAAATATGTAAATCTAATATGGCAAAATATTAATAATTGTTAAACCTAAGTGGTGAGTATACGGAGATCCAGTATACCATTCTACTTTTCTGTACAGTTAATTTTCTTCATAATAAAAAAAAGGTTTTAAAATGCCCCTAAAAAAAAAAAAAAAAAAAAAAAAAAAAAACCCCAAAAAACCAGTGGAATATACAACGAAAGCGTATGGATCAAAATTTAATGGTTTGTTATTATTGGCCTCACTCAAGAAATCTTTACAAATTGGGTTGGCACTCATATTTCAAAATTTGAAGCTTATCACTAACTATATCATCTTAGTCATACTGTACTTTGAAGATTCCCTTGTAGTAANAACTAATACAACAAAGAGTTTAGCAAAGGTTGCAGGACGTAAGATGAATATACAAAAATGAATTGCATTTCTATGCACTAGCAATGGACATTCAGAATATGAAGAATTATATTTACCACACTTAGGATTAGATATAACAAAAAGTACAAAATGTGTACTATGATAACCACAAAAAATTGTTTGAAGATACTAAAGAAAAACATTCTGTTTATGGATTGTAAGACAATACTGTTAAAGTGGCAACATTCCCCAAACTGATGTAGATTCAACACAATCCTTATCAAAATCTTTGTTGGCCTTTAAACAGAAATCTGTAAGCTAATCCTGAAATTCAGATGGCAATTCAAAGTAGCTTGAACAGACAAAATTTAAACTTGAAAAGGAACAAAGCTGAATTCAACACTTCTATAAAGCAATGGTAATCAAGACAGTCCGGCACCAGCAAAAGAACAGAAAATATAGCTCAATGGACTAGAACTAAGGGTCCAGAAATAAACCCTTACATTATGGACAACGAATCTGCAACAACATGACGAGAATTCAACAGTGAAAGGACAGTCTTTTCAACAGATAGTGCTGCAACAACTAAACATCTAGATGCGAAATAAGAAAGATACCACACAAAAAATTAACTCGAAATGGATCATATTAGAGCTAACACTAATAAAACTAAGGACTGATCACTGAGCGTAAATACTTCAGGAAGAGTATAGTGAAAGGTAGAGGCTAGTTCTGGAATTTTCTGAGTCTTCTTAGACCAAATAGCAACGTAGGGTCTCAAAGGCTGAGGGGAAGGAGGAAGAATGGAGATTTTGAAGAGAGGACACTACACAGTGTGAACAAGCACCACAGGCAGGAGGTGCTCAGGAAACAATCAGCCACCCAGCGGAGCAGGGTGGGGACGAGGGGGGGTAAGGGCAGGTGTTTAAGGCCTCACAGTGTGAAGGTCAGATGGCTGTGGCCTTTGAGGCTGGGAAAGGAACTCAAGTTTGTATTCGTGTCCACAAATGCATAGCTTTAGAAAATAAGTGTATAGCTAACCTGAAGGCAGCAGAAACTGAAGGCGAGGAAATCAGATTTTTTAAATGGCTGAACTAATCCTTTACTCAGAGATCAGGAGGCTG